GCGATTTGGACCCAGTCAAGCAAAGAGAGCAGTGCCAGAGAGCACGTGACCCATGCCCTCGGCTAAGATTAGATGGTGGTTCTTACATCAGCATCTTTGGAAGAACTTCTTTAAATAGATTTATGACCCCACCCTTGGAGTTTCTGCTTCAGTGGATCTTGGTTGGAACCCAAGAATTAGAGCTTCTAACAGGCTGCCAGGAGGTGCTGAGGATGGGGGTTCTGGGGCCACATTTGAGAAGCACCGGACTAGGAAGGTGTCATGTCCATGTGTTTGAAGAAACACTACATTCTCTTCATCTTCCTGCCTCCCTCTATACCACAAATGTAACGCACAGTTTTATGTAGGAATCATGTTCTAACTCAACTATAGGGTTAAGGTGGGGGGGGGGCGGGGTGAGTGAAGCTCTTCGTTGTAGTGAGCCACTTTTGACTGACAGTGGAGAGAGCCAATGGATGAGCCTGGGGTTCGCAGGGGTGGAGAGAGTGGGATGCGGGATGTGGTGGGTGTGCAGGGCTGCAAGGAGAAAAAGCCGGTAGGGAAGCCTGCTTCCACTTATGTGAAAGTGCTGGGGGGGCTGGGGGTTTGGGGTGGGGACCTGCACTAGGTCAACCACTGTGGAGAGGGGGCGATATAAAGCAAATGGTCGCGAAGGAGAAAGAGAGCCCAGGGAGGGAACCAGGATGTCAGGGGCAGATCTGGGGGAAGATGAACGAAGGACCAGCTTTCAGCGTTAAGCCAAGGCAAGAAGGATTCAGCAGTTAACCAGGACATCCTGAAGGGTCTCTCTTTATATGGTTTGTTCCTCCCAGAATTCATCGTAGATGACCCAATGAGGTAGCTTTCCCCGAATGACAACAACGCATATAGAGCGCTGAAGTCCCTCGAGAGAGGGGAGGAAAGGAGAGAGACAGGCCGCTGTCCCATGAGCTGGAGAAGGGAAGCCCCCCTGCCCTTGGGTGGTGCCGCGAAGAGCAGACCTCCACGATTCTCCGCTACCTCCCACCTGGCATCCCCCTGGAGTGCCCCCGTGTGCTGACTCCATTTCCCTTGCCCAAAGCTCCTCTGTCCCATCTTAACACTTCCCCTTGTGTCCTTGACCCACATCCCCTCAGCAGCTCTTCCTTGCCGGTGAACCCCAATTCTCTCCGCCACTCTCCCACAGCAGTCGCAGAAGGTAATTGGTGTAGTCATTAATCGCCCTCCTGGTGGCCCATCTGCAAGGGGCACAAGGCCCTGGCCAGCGTTGGAGGCAATAGAGAGAAAATGGTCACTATGAGATCATGCCAGCAAAGCTGTCTGTGCAGCCAGCATTGCTTTTGAATTGGATGGGACACCGGCAGCCTCTGAGGGTGGAAACTCCACAGGCAAGTCTTTTGTGCAGTTGGAAAAAGTCACAGAACTGGGCAGACTTGACCCACTATAAGCTCTAAACCCAGTATCTTAATTCAACTGCACCCTCTGTGCCTCCTGATCCTCTCTAATTCCTCCCGTGATGGGTTTCCGCTGGTTGTTCCAGGCCCCTTCCTCTCCAGGCTCTGCCTCAGGGCCATCCACCCTCCCTTTCCATCTCAATAACGAGACTCCAGGCCTCTGGGAAGTGCCTTTCATTTGTCCCCCTCTCCTCAGCACAGCTATCTGACCTCTTCTGCACATCCTCATTTATAAAATGTGGTACATTTGGCTATTGGTTTGGTCTGCTTGGCACCTCCTCTCTCCTTCTAATGGTAGCAGACCTCTGTCCCGCTTTCCCCGCCCCCTAGAGAGATGGGATCTGTGGATCGGCTGGCCCAGTCATTTTGCCCCATCTTGACAACAGTGGTTGGCTCTGGAATGTGCATGTGATTGGAAATTGACCAATCACAGCCCTTCCCTGGAATTTTTACATTTCAAGCTAGTGGGGAAGATTTCTTTCCTCTCTATTTTTGAGGCTATAAGAATGTAAACCAGAGGCTCTGATGCCTGGAGGAAGACCACCTACAGGAGTAGAGAAAGAAACCAGCAAGAACCCAGAAGGATAAAGAAGAGCATGGTGACATTTGAGTTCATGACGGTGACATTTGAGTTCATGACCCAGCTGTGTCTGAGACAAAACCTACCATTGTTCATTATAGTTCTGGTTGGTTTCTGTCATTTACAACTAAAGTGTTCTGACTAATGCAGGTGACATTTATCGTCCATGTGGTGGCTATGACATGTTAAGAGATTTTCCTTGTCAAGTGGTTAATGCATACTGAATCCATCGTGCCTGCCAGTGGTGCCGTTGGTCCTGCCGCCACCTCCCCAGCACGCCCAGCTCTGCCTTCAGCCTCTGCCTCAGTCAGTGCCTCATCACTCCTCTGGCCCACGTGGCTGGAAGTCCCAGCACCACATTTCTTCCTGTATTTCTAATATGGCCCATCCCCGGCCTGCCGCATTTGTCCCACATGGTAGCTTCCAGATCGTTCCTTCCTTTTCATCCCGCCCGGTACTGCTTTAGTCTGAGCCTCCCATTGGTGTGTCCACCGAACTTCAACTGAGGACCTATTCTAGGTCAGGCAATATGCTGGCACTGTGCCCAGGTCAGCAGACAAGATAGATGTGGTCCCCTGACGCCCCCTTTTCTGCCCCAGCAGTCCTGCAGTACCTGTCAGACTGATTGTCCTCAAATACCAGGTTCATGTTACTCTTCTTAACAACATTCCTTGACTCCCCGTGTCCTCCCTCACCACATCCCAATGTCCCTACGCGGCCTTCGGAAGTCCTCCACGGTCCACCTCCCATCATCCCATCCTCGTTTTCATCACACCATTACTAGTAGCAGTAGAAGCAGCCACCATTTATGACACGCTTATTGTGGGCCAGAAACTGTGCCAATCACTTTATAGGCATCAGCTTATTTAGAGTGTCACCGCTGGGGGTGAGACTCAGCGCAGTCAGTGACCGACGCAGCAGGGGCACCAGCACTAGGAGAGGACCCTGGCTGCCCCACCCCACTGGGCCAGGCAAACCAGCGCTGTTCCCAGCCCCCCGTCCACAAAAGGTGGGCGTTATAGTCCCCCATGTACAAATGTAAGCCAGGACTCTGAAGGGTCAAGTGTGTTGCCTAGGGACCCACGGCTGGTAAACAGATTCCAGTCCAGGAGCTTCTAACTCCAGAGCCGTCAGCCCATCCCAGAGGGCCTCCCTCAGTTCCCACAGCACAAGCCTTGCTCTAGGGACACCGGCTCCTTCCCTGCAATTTAAATAGGCAGCATTCCGCTGCCCTCGTTTATTCGCTCCCACGCTCACTGGTTGTGGCTCCTACTTTGAGCCTGTGCGAGGGGCGGGGATCTCCACGGGGGCAGGGACTCTGCCGTTTCTGCTCACTGTGCTGTCCCGAGCACCTGGTTCATCACTAGCACATAACTGGCAAATACTTGTTGAATGAATGAACCAATGCACAGATGAAGAGGGGATGTGGAGGCGTTGGAACAAACCAATGGCTGATTCCATGTTCGCAGCCCTGGTGTCACGGGTCAGTGAGGGCGGCGATGTTATTTGTGGTGGTGGTTAATGTTTAATACTCATCTGAGCCACCAGGCCTGCCTAAATGTCCACAGGACACTCAGAGGCGTTTTATTCTCTACAGAGCAGCAGAATCTGAGGACCAGGGGAGCTCTGGGTTTGAACCCCCGCTCTGTGCGCGCGGGCATTTGGCCTCTGTGACCCTCTGTTTCCTTCTCTGCACAGTGGTGCTATAACTGTCCTGGAGAGTTTAAGTGGGAGACGGATAGCACTCGTCACATTCCTTTCGCTTACCAGCACCCATTCAAGGTTACTTTTCCTACTCAAACATGTTTAAGACCCAGGTGACTCATGAAACCCACCTAGAAACTCAAAAGACAAGAAATAACATGGGAGAGCCCAGAAGAGACACGACAGAGGGGGTGTCAGGCCCAAGCTGGACCCACAGCTGAGTGGTGGAGCGGACGAGGGGCTCACACCCTGGCCAGGGCGGCCGGGCGTTACTGACTAGACAGATGCACCTGTGTGGGCCTCTGGTCCTTTAAATTCCCCGCAAGCAGCAGGGGAATTCTAGGCAGCAGGGCTGGGCATTTCCTCCCAGCCCTTGGTGCCAGTTCTCATCTGCCCTCCCAGTGGTAGCAGGAAGGGTGGTAGAAGCAGGAAGGGTGTCAAGGACATGTCTTCCCTGCCACCTCCACACCTCCTTCCCTGGTGTCCTGACAGAGAAGGCCCCTCGTTTAGCGAAAACAAGCCTGCATTTTTGTTCAAGTGAGCTTTTCTATCAAACCAACACACCAAGGAAAAAGCGAGGGACAGATGAGTGCCAGCTCAGCTTGTGGTCCCCACCTCCCCAGGCTGGCATTCATTGCTGGTCACTCAGACCGCTCCTGGCTTCTTACCTCCAAGACCTTCTGCACCCCATTAACAAGTCGGCCCATCTGGATTGCTTGTTTTTCCTCCCAGCCGTCCCCCAACACTGTGGGTGGCAGGAAGAAATCAAGGTTTGGGGGACTCCAGCCCTGGGTTCTGCCTCCAGCACCCCATGTGACCTTGAACAAGTCATGTCATCTCTCTGGGCCTCAGTTTTTTCACTCAGAAATGGGCATGATAGCTGGGCATTGGGCCGAAGGTGAGGACTTGCTGATATAACCCGCGGGAGCCTTAGCAGCGGCGGGGCCCAGAGGAGGACTCGCCGAGGACTAGCGCTCACCCTCCTAGCGCACAGCACTGCCCCTGCTCCTTACTGACGACTTTCCCTTCCAACTTCCTTCCCGTCCCACCTCCTGCTTCCCAGTCTTCCGAGACTCTGAAGCCCCTAGATTCGAGCCGTGCCTTCATCGTCGTCTGGGACATCAGTCAGGGTAGAGGCAAATGGCATTATAGGGGAAATCAGCTAAGAGGGGACAGAGCTGAACTCGTCTCTTCTGGAGACTCTTGTCCCATCCCGAGTATCCTGCTCTCACCCCCAAAGCTATCGCGGTCCGGGACCCCGCGACGCCCTCCCTTGCTCTTACCGGAGAAGATCTTCCCGTCCCTGGTGAGGACAGCAGCCCCCACGGGGAAGTGACTGTAGGGACAGTAGGCGAATTTCTTGGCCTCGTGGGAGCTGAGCACCAGCTTCTGGACGCACTTGGGATCCAGGACGCAGGCATGATGCATCTGGGCCATGTCAGTCCCCACGGAGGAGCAGAGGAGCAGAGGAGCAGAGGAGCAGAGAAGGGAGCCCGCTGCGAGGCTCGGCTGAGACCCGCTACGAAAGCAGCTCCTCCCCGGGGGTGTGTCCCTGCCCAAAGCTCCCCGGTGCGCCTGTGGAGATGCTGGGCGGGGCCGGGCCCGGGAGTGGAGCGTCCCCCCTCCCCCAGGCCTGGGGCCAGAGGATGGGTGTGTCTTTCAATGTGGAAGAATGTGGCTGTGCCCACATGTGTTTTGCACTCTCCCTTGGGGACCGCTATGGCTCTAACACGCTAATGGGCGGGTGGGTCAGGAGACTGGTGTCACTGTGTAGGCGGTGACTGTGGACATGCCCTCCTCAGGGAAGTAGCTGCTGAGGGGGTCTGTGGAGGTCTAGGAAGGCCAAGTTCCAAAGGTTGCAAAACCCTGTTTATTGAATGACTTTTTCTCTTCTTCACTGAGGGAAGGGATGAAGCTGAAAGGGCAAGATTGGAGCAGCTACACTGGTCTCCTTAGGGAATTAGATCAAGCAACTTCTTTATTTTTACCTGTTCTCCTTCCCATTCATCTCTGTCTCAACCCAGAATGAAAAAGAATCTTAGCTGGAGGGAACTTCTGAGATCGTCTCTCAGGCAAAACAAACATTGGGTTGGTGATACAAGAAATGTGTTTATATCCTGGCTCCGCCAATGTTCCACATGTACAACTGTCAGCAGATTGTTTGACTTCTCTGTGCCAGTTTCCTTCTGTCTATGTGGGGATAGGGATAATCTCCATTTTCTGTCTTGAAATGACAGAAGAGCTCTAGCCTTGGCATTTAGCAGACCCTAGTTTGAGTTCCAGTTCCGCCGTTAATTAGCCATATGACCTTGGGAAGTCAATGCCACCTCTCGAAGCCTCAGTTTCCCCATCTTTAAACTGGATGCACTAGCAGCATCTTGCAGAGTTGTTGTTAGCACTGCATGAGATGTGTGTACAGTAAAAACGGATCCTGGGACACGAGACACGAGTACTCTTTGTGATTCCATGAAAATTGGATTATTGTCATTCAGTGACTTGGCCAGGATTACATAGGAAGAGCAGAACACCAGTTAGGGTGTCCAGAGGCATCCACATGTCCCCAGCCCCGCAGCAAACAGGAGTGAATCAGTGGTTTCTCTGAGGGCTTGGGTAAGGGTGGAGGAGGGGGAGGGGCGATGGAAGGGGAAGGGAGAAAGGCAGTGGGTTGGGGGAAATGAGGCAACATCCCCGCGTCCTGTATGCTGCCATCCCCGCGTCCTGTATGCTGCCATCCCCGCGTCCTGTATGCTGCCATCCGTGCTCCGGGCCTGGAGCTCTCAGCCATGTAGAGGCTCAGCTGGGGCTCTGCGCACTTGGACGAGTTGCTCTCATTTTCTCCTCCCCTCCCAGTCCTACCCCCTTCTTTTTTTCACATCCTGGGGGTTTGAAGAAAGCTGGTGCTCCCCTTGTTATTGCATTTTCTTTTCTTTAAATTTTATTTATTTATTTATTTATTTTATTGTTCAAATATATTTGTCTCCATTTTCCTGCCACCACTCTCTCCTGCCCCACCCACCCCCACCTTCCAGCCTCAATCCTCCCCCACTTTGGCTTTGTCTATGGGTCCTTTATATATGTTCCTTGACTTGAGCCTTCCCCTTGTTTTTCCCATTACCCACCTCCCTCCTCCCCTCTGGTTACTGCTGGTTTGTTTTATTCTTTCAGTGTTGCTGGTTATATTTTTCTTGCTTGTTTTTTTCATTGATTAGGTTCCACTTATAGGTGAGATCATATGGTATTTGTCTTTCACCCCCTGGCTTATTTCACTTAGCATAATGCTCTCCAGTTCCATCCATACTGTCGCGAAGGGTAGGAGTTCCTTCTTTCTTTCTGTTGCATAGTATTCCATTGTGTAAATGTACCATAGTTTTTGATCCACACATTTATTGATGGACACTTAGGTTGCTTCCAAACTTGGCTATTAGAAATTGTGCTGCTATGAACATTTGCATGCATAGGTCCTTTTGAATTGGTGTTTTGGGATTCTTAGGGTGTAATCCCAGCAGTGGAATTGCTGGGCCCAAAGGCAGTTCCATCTTTAGTTTTTTGAGGAAATTCCATGCTGTCTTCCGCAGTGGCTGCACCAGCCTGCATTCCCACCAACAGTGCACTAGGGTTCCCCTTCCCCCACAACCTCCCCAGCACTTGTTGTTTCTTGATTTGTTTACGATGGCCATTCTGACTGGTGCAAAGTGGAATCTCACTGTGGTTCCCCCTGCTCTTGCATTTTCTTCCTGTACCTGTACCTTCGGCATCTAGACCAGTTCCCTGGATCTGAGGCAGGGCTGGCAGAGAAACCAGGGGGATTACCCCCCGCCCTGCACTGCCCAGGTATCCCACAGGCCTCTCCCCTGAGGCTCCAGGAGAAAAAGTGAAGGCTGTCCTGGGACAATATGTGCCCACTTGACATGGGAATAATTCTAAAACTTTTGGGCACCAAGTATAATGACAACTGGGAAGAGGGTTCTAGGGCCCTGCTGGTTGGCCAGGCTTGTCCTGTTCCTGTCCCCACCCTGCCTTGACTCAGCCGGCCCTGCCCAGGCCTGGCGCTGAACTCCTTGGCTCCATAGCGCCTGGAGAACTTGAGTCACTTTCAGGCTAATGATGGCCCTTGGCATCTTCAGAGCTCTTTCCCTGCACATGGTCACAAACGGGACATCACCATTGCCAACCCAGCAGGATGGAGCTTGAGAGATAGCAGTGGTTCCAGAATCCTCATAGAAGGGGCTTGGGCCATCAGGAGGGAAGGGGAGAGTGGGCCTGGAAACTTGCTTAAAGCTAAGTTATCAATCAGTAACAGTAACAACACTTTCTGAACATGCTTTAATCTCCACTCTGCAGAAAATTAAGAAATTCATTGACCAGCTCAAAGAACAGGAATATTCAAGGAAGGTGTTTTGAGTGGTGGTGGAGATCGTCAAGGCCACAAAGCCCTCCTCATCCCCACCCCAGGCCTTTCCTCTGTGAGGAGGACGACCCAGAGTCCCCGTGTTGGAGCTCAGACACCACTCATTTGCTTTCTCATTCAATGAACTATTACTCATAATAGCTCACTCTTATTTAGATCTTTCCACGTGCAGGGACTGTGCTAAATGCATCTTTCGAATTATTTCATGTAATCTTCACCCTAAGGGAGATACTGGCAATATCACCATATTTTACTGATGAGAACACGTGGGCTCATGGCAATCAGAAGTAGATCTCAGACCCGAGCTGTCTGCCTCCATCGGAACCCCAGGCTCTCGCCCATCCCAGAACGCACGGGGAGCTGATAGAATGGACATGCAGGGATGCAGGCCTTGGCACAGACCAAGCAGTGTAATCCCTCTTGTTACCAGCTGGGTGCCTAGGCAAGTTAGCACATCACTCTGTGCCCCCTGTTCCTCATTTGTATAATGGACAGCACTAACCCAATCATAGTGGCTCATGATGACCAGAGTTTATTCTGCTCAGGAAGGTTTCCCATTTCCTTTCTTTTGTCTTCTTTAGAGGAGACCTTCTGGTGGGCTGCCAATCACTGTGCTTTCACTCCTTGTTGGGTTGAGACACTGGCACAAAATGGCCAGTCAGAGACCTCACTTGTCTGCTGAGTTGGTGAGAGTGTTGGTTTTCCCCATTGTGGCTGCTAAGCTAAGAGAATGTGACTATTGCTGACAGCTAGCTTGTGCTCTGGGTAGAGGGACCCAGCTTGCAAAATGAAGCCACGTAGAGAGAAGCGTAGATGAGAGGTTAAAGAACCCTGATTTCTCTCTGAGCATCTGGATCTGGCCATCCCTGAAGGCACACTTCTAGACTTTCCTTTAACTGAGCCAATACATTCACTTCGTGCTTAAACTTGTTTGAATTTTGTTTCTGTGGCATCTAGATGAACACACTACCTCCAAGGATAGTTGTCAAAATCTACTGAGATAACATATGTAAAGCTCACAGGGACTGGCACGTGATAAATGTTCAACACGTGCTAACGCTCTTGTTATAATGAATACTCTGTGCCAGGTCCTACATGGGATACTGGTGAATCAGAGGAGAATGAGACTTGGTAACTGCCTTTGAGAAACTCAAACTAGACAGACAAGTCAATAGACAAGTAGAAAATAACCATGACACAGGATGAGGTATTGGGTCCCACGGCAATACTGAAAACTAATCGTCTGGAGGGAGTGATGGGTTGGTCGTTGGGAAAACTTCCCAGATTGCAGGAGGCTGAGAGGAGTCTGAAGGGGTTCAGCATAGGCCTCCCCAAGATGTGCTGCTTTGGCACGTGGATTATTTTTAGCTGAAGGCAATTAAGACCCTGTGAGCTCCAGGGAGACTTGAACCTTTCCCTTTAAGAATTCAAATGCGGGACCTTGTCCACAATAAAAGTTATCACCAGAAATAACTTTTTATGACCTGTCTCTAAGGCAAGGCAAACATCTAATCACTGAACATCTGCTCTTCTTATCCATCTGTGAATGACCCTCCTCCCTTCTGAAGACACACGTGCCAAACTTTAGTCCTTAACTCAAGATGTCATATATATCTCATTTTCCTGTCTGTTTTTGAACTTCTCATGTATGTTGGGTCTCTGACTCTGTCATACATGTGGGATTCCCATAGGTATATACGTAATTAAATTTGGTTATTTTTCTCTTGTTAACCTGTCTCATGTTGATTTAATTATTAGACTAGCTGGAAGAAACTAGAAAGATAGAGGAATATTTTTTCCTCCCTCACAAGTCTTAAATGATGTTCATAGTGAGTAAGGTGGGTGTTATAGATTGAATTGTGTCTCTGCCCCAAAAGAAATGTTGAACTCTTGCTCTGAGTGGTGTGGCTCAGTGGATTGAGTGCCGGCCTGTGGACCAAAAGGTCACCAGTTCAATTCCTGGTCAAGGCCCATACCTGGGTTGTGGGCCAGGTCCCCCGTTGGTAACTGATTGATGTTTCTTTCTCACATTGATGTTTCTCTCCCTCTCATTCTCCTTTCCTTCCCCTCTCTCTAAAATCAATAGATAAAATCTAAAAAAAAAA